CTTGTCTCTTCTCTTTCTGCTTTTATTCTATTAATCTTATTTGACAGTTAATCTAATTAAACAGTTCTGGAGGCAAAGACCACAGCTTAAAGTTTCACGTAAAATGGAGAAACTGGTGCCTCCTCTCTCAAGTAATACCATCTACTTTTAAAGCAGATTTATTTGTTTGCTGCACGTTTTCAGAAAGAAGGGGTGTGCTGCTTTTCTTTACAAAGTAGACCTTAGGTCATGAAACCAAGTGGACTTGTCAATAGTGCTGGATTAAGTGTAAGCTTCAGAGAAGAGAAGAGACATTAACTCACAGAATGTTGAGCATTTTCGGCCACCTAGGTTTCTATTTGGCAGGTGCTTGAGCTGTATGTTTTTGCATGGTGCCTAATTCTCTTCATGTACTAAACTGTAAAAATCATGCCTAAAACTGGACTTTGCATCCAAATCCAAGGGCTGCCTGCTCTGAAACTAGGTGCTACAGCTGCCTACTTGTAGGTGATTAAGTCCTTTATTGGATCTCACCTGAATATACTAGGCATCTGGGAATGAACCAACAACTCCAAAGCCATTTAACATCAATCAATCAACTACAAATGTTCATTTAACATCAATCAATCAACTACAAATTGATAGTAATGTTCTATCAGAAGATTACTCATGAGTGAGTGACCAAGAAGTATAACTTTCCTTTTCACAGTTTTATCATTTGAATCCTCTGCAGACATTAACTATTAGAATGTCATCAGAATTTCAGAAAATATTGAAAAACATTTATCTTTTCTGATATTTCTACTCTAAAGAATAAAAGTATTGTAAGCTTAAAATGATACTGAATTCAAGAAATGAAGGAGCACACAGATTTGAAGCAGAATGAATTAATGGTGGTGACATCCAAATAGGAGCATTTGGATGTGTGTAACTAGAGTGAATATTTTAAATACTCAACTTACTTCCAAACTGCAGCATTCACCACGTAGAATTATGTCAGCATCTGGAAGCACCATTCCTGATTTGGAGTGACATCACAGCATCAGCCAACTTTGATTAGCTGAAACTATGATTTCCTTTTAGAGGTGGCACTTCCTGAAGTGACATAACAACATGGCAGCTCCCTAGTGTTCAGCGTACCTTGGAGGTAACTCTGGTGTCGGGGGAACCACCGGGCAGCTGGGCAGGTCGGTTATTTCAATACCCCTCAATCTCTAATGTAAATATAACAATTATACAATAAATATAGCACAAACAAATGCACATGCAGTACATGTCTATATTACTGTATATAAGTAGAAGTATACAAAATAGCTGTAGATATAAAGCACTTTAAAACTGTTTTCTTAATTAAGTCCTACTTTAACATCACTTTTTAAGCTGCCTTCATTATTTTTAATGACATGCTTTGAGCTAGTGCATTCAGACCTGCTAGCAGCAAGAGTTTCAAAGACTGTCGGTCTACGAAGTCCCACATGGGCCCCATGCATACTTGATTCTACAACACGTGTGCAGTGAGTCCCACATTCACGGAGCACCCGTACGCAGAGTTGCTCTGCACGTGCACCATGGTCCATCCCATAGGATAAGTGGGCATCTAGCAGTCTCCATGGCTGAGTGTTTAAGCCAGCCCATTAATGGGCAGGGAAGTGGAGCTGTACACTGCTTGTTCACATGATTATCTGCTGCCAGACAAGGATGGCAGGTGTGTGGATTTTGAAAGATTTTTTCTTCCCAGGCCATTTATTTTTCTGCATTTTTTTCTCTTTCTGCCTCAGTAGAGCTTCCTCTTTGTGTTTGTTGAGGCAAGAGCCTTCCTGTTTGAAAGGTAGGGCTTAATCCATCATCTACACGACCATGCCTATTTTGCTTCATTTTAAAGTAAAAGGAAAAAGCCTATGTCTTCTTTTGATTCTATTACCCTATTTTATGTTAATGTTGTAACCTATACTATTTAACTTTTAAAATCATTTAAAACTGTTTCTAAGGTGAATTCAATCTATATTTCTTCTTGAAGTCTCAGATAAGAAAGCAAAGAATAGTGACAAAACATTTTTATTTAATGGACTATTCACATCTACATCATGAATCTGAAGACATTCTGTGGCCTGAATGTATTAATCCTCACTCTGCTGTTAGAGGGCTCGATAAATATGATACAGCCCGTTGAACTTAAGTATAATTTAGACTAGAACATGTCAGTTTAGATGAACAGACCAATTGACTTCTGTTCCCTTCTCTAGTCATTTCTGAAATGAAAGGCATAGGACATTAAGCCCAAACATAAAGCCCAGGATGCTAGTGAACATTTTACCCCTTGAATATGAATCAGATCCCTAACTCCAATAAGCTAATTTGAAGAATTGTATTCAATTAATTCTTTTGTCCCTACATACTCAGTTGTGGAACCTTAAAATTAAGCACCTTAGCACCTTCATAAGCTTCCTTTTAATGGAGAAAGGTACAGGTGCTTTGCAGGTGGCCTCTGCAAATCATGCCACTTTCATTTATATGTCTAAATATGCCTGCAGGTACTTAGGTTTAGTTATTTAGGTTTGCAAACTCTGTTTTGTGTGTGTGTGTTTAAATAACTTACTTTATAAGCTGAGTACTTGGGAGAGGAAGAAATTGATTAAATTCTGGAAGCATGCAATGATGTGGTTACAGAAAGCATTCTGTGCTGTTTCAGAGTACATGATAATCCATATTAATAAGACTTCCCATTATTTATGAAGTGCTATATTTAGCAGCTAAGCCCTTGAATAGCTATACAATGGAATTATGTTGAAAATGGATGTACTTCATTGAAATGAAGGTACTGCAAATACACAGTACCTAAAAATAGCTTCATACAATGCAACATAATAAAGCTCAAACAGAAAGGCAGCACTTCATTTCCCAAACTCTCATATAAGATGGAAAATACACCTATTGCCAACTGTATACATTAACATATATGATAGCTTTTTAAGAACAACAACAAATAAGGAAACACACACGACTCACTTTTTCTGCCATTTCATGGGAGTGATGCAGTGAATGCTCTCTTTCCGAGAACATTCGCCTTTGTTCATAGCTGGCTAGCCGACAAGTGAGCCATGAAGAAAGGGTGCAACCACCAATTCCAATGCATGCAAGAGACATGGAGGCGAGATGCAAAGAGTAGAGAGCAGAGGACTTCTTTGTCAGAGCACGAAGAAATTGAAAATTTAGGATTCCTCCAATTAGTCCACAAATACAACAGGCAGAAAAAAGTATCATCTGTTAGGAAAGATAAGAGAGATTATGTCACAGATGCATTTTTCAGAGACAGTCATTCATACAAAAAAAAATCATTACCTTGGTAGCATCATGGATCATAAAGCATTTCCCCCACAGAATGGAGGAACCAGTTCCCCCCACAGCTCCCGCAGGACTCAAAGAGAATACTGTACTCTATGGTATACAAGACTTGTTAAGAACTGTGATAATTAAAATATAAGGGTAGCTAAAATGAGTTGCCAGCTTAAAACCAAGTAAATGGAAGGGCTATACTAGTACTTCTTCTGACCTCCAGTTTTCATTCATCACACTAACATGGCGGAATGTATCATAGTTTTGTATTGTGTGGTTTCTGTTGTGCAGTTTCCCACCCTCCTCAGAAGTGAATGCCTCATGAATTTGCGCTGAGTCTCTGTTACTTTGTGTGTCACCTGGCTGTGCCTGTCATTCAGTTCTAATTTGCTCAGTCAGGCAGCGATCTGGAGGGAGCTTTTGTGGGGACTTCATATATGTTCAAGGTGAATGCACTGGATAAGGAAGCAACAGAAACAACAAATCTGAAATGCAGCTCTACAGAGAGTCAGTGTGGTAACTACGTGTTTTTTACTTAGCTAAATGTTTCCATGAACCTTTGATGTTCAATATGCTATAATAGGATGTGCAATAGATTACAGTTAGTGAGACATATTTAAAGATCCCCTATCACTTTGAACATGAAGAGGTCACCTCTGGTTCAGGATGCCTCTGAGACACAAATCACAGAAGGCCAAAAGACCTTTGGACCTCATGGGCATATTGTTAAATATTTGCCCTTTTTACTTCCCCAGATGCTGCTGGCCTGTCAGGTGTTGATCTTCGTGGACATTTGATGTACGGCTTTATATACTATGTATCTACTTAAGTACCGTGGTAGAGAAAATTGTGGAGCCTCACAGATCACAGGTATCCAATAGACCACTTCCATACGCAAGTGGGATGTGAATTTTAAGAATGTGCCATTCAGACAGTGTTTGGCAGCCTGTGGGAAAATGACTGTTCCATGATGTCACTAGAACAGACAGTTATTAGAAACTCTATGTTCCACTTGGTTTAAGATATGAGAATATCATTATAACGGTGTTTAAAATATTTCCCTGATGTTCAAAAACAACCTCAGAGATGCTAGTTTTGTATGGCCTCTTTGTGCATGGCAGGATAACCAAGAGGACAGAAATCTACCACCAGACATTATAACTTATAGTAAGATCATATTTTTGATATACAGATTGAATGGCCACAGTTGTTTTTTTGTGTAATAACATTTTGCTTCAGTCAGAAAAATTACTGTACTTCTGTTTCTTATAAAGACCAGAAAACATCTGTCATCATTTAAAAAATGGCTTATTCATGACTGATTGCAAAAAGTCATCATATTAAAAACAGTAATCAGTTACAATGTTGAAAATGAATCTTGGTCAGCAACCTGACTGAAGTAGCAGCCCAATCCTGACACATTTTACAGAAATGGGCTCACTTAAAGAAAAAAAGATAAAATCCACTGACTGATTGCTACTGGCAGTCTTTCTCTTGACTTGTCATAGATTTTATGTCAAGAGGTTTTCCAACCAGACAGGGTAAAAATAGAGGTGCACAGCTTAAATAGGCATACTCTAAATAGAATTAGAATAGAATTTAGATTTGCCTTGTTTTGCTTGATTAACCAAAAGTAACAACTGCTTTCATTTTTGGGACTGTTGGCTTGCAATTTTCACTGGCTTTTTATCACAAATTTGGACACAGTAAACCCGAAGTAAAGAGTTCGAGTTAGATAAGTTTGCTTTTCAAATATTTCTGTGTTATATGTGTATGTATGTATGTAGTGAAAAAACTTACAACAAGTCCAGATTTTTTTTTGGCGCACAATATTCCACATATGCCGCAAAGCAGAAACTGCAAAGAAAAAAAAAGTATTTCATCATTTAAGTTCTTGAGTTTAAATCCTGCTGTGTTGTTGTAGGTTAGGCAATTGCTATAGTTGTGTCAGCATTTTTATTACAAACCTTATATTTCAGAAAATTGTAACTCAGCCATACACACTTATCTGAGAAAAAAAAAAATGGAATGCAAAGTCAGCCTAAAGATGATTACTCATAAAAATACAAGAGAAAAGAAGGCCTGTTTTTAAGCTGATTGTATAAACAAACATAAAATAATGTTACCAGCAAAAGATGCCTTTTTATCCTTCTTTTGCTCAGAAAAGAATTTTAGCAAGATGATAGTCAGTGATCCAGATCACACTTCTGGTACTTTTGAGTTTAGCTGAGATAGTTACTAGCCTTCAGTGTGAACCACTGAAACTTCATAGATTGTCCTCAAGACGGGGGGAGCTCCGTGTGAGAATACAGTTCAGTCACCTACACAGATGCAAGTGCAAACACAGAGCACATCTGTTGACATAGCCGAAATGACCGTGCAGAACAAGCTGTTTCAGATTCTAGATAGCCCACTATACAAGAGATAGCATGAAAAATCCTTTCCTCTTTCTTTTTTTTTTGTTTTATTTTTTGTTTTTCTCATTTAGTTTCTTTCACAAATTGATCTGACAGCTGTGGCACCTACCATTAGGCAAAAACTGATTAACTAAAACAAAAGCACTCTCTATCCACTGATATGAACATGTGTTAATACCTTTTAATTTAGTCTGCTTCACCTGTGTCAATGACCAATAGTTTTCTCTGATGTCTCATTTTTCTGCTACCAAAACACTTTCCTTAGGGAAACAGTGAACAATTCCTAAGGGAACCAACATTGTAGGAACTACAGTAGTTGTTTGAAGGTAATAAGACCTTCTCCAAGTGTTTGGAATACTATGAGAAGATTGCCTCGATACCTCCTAAACACCTTTGGTGCAAAAGCTATGCTATTTATTCTTAGTAAAGATAACTACAGTCTTATGGGAGATAATAATATAGTTTTAAAACTGTTTTTTTTTTTCACATGCTCTTTTTTCACTGCAGGGGGATTTCTAGCAAAAAGCTTTGCTTGATTTAGGATTAAATCACAGGGTATTCATGGCTATTACATAAAAAGTGAATTAAAAATATACAGTTTCTGTACACCATTCAGGATACATGTAGTATATTGCGTATATATCTCATTGACCCTCCAAAATTCTGCATCTGTTCATCTACCCCCTCCCAAACCCCAAAGAATTCCTGCAGGTAGCTAGGTCTAAGCCTTGAGGCAACGTGGTTTTGCTCAGTATTAAGTCCATTGAATCATTAGCCCACAATTAGCATATGCACTAATTTTGCATGCTATTTACCTATATACTAAGCACAGAATATGAGCTAGAATATGATACTGCTCTGTTAATGGGAAGGTCTGTATAATGTAGGCCATGGTTCTGAATGAATCGGGAGAAACACCATACCATGGGTAACTGCTACTAGTTCATTGCTTGGAATAAGTTACCTGTTGAGGTTGTCAAAAGGAAATGGGGGCAGCTCCCTCTACCCCTTTCATCCTACAGGCAGTGGATGTCAGCTCATAATTAGCGCATCTGCCTTGTAAGGCTTTACTCGGGCTTTATGTGAAATTTTAGAGTTGCACTGAAAGCTCTGTCACTGGAGATTGACTTCAATTTAAGGCATATTTCAGATTTCACATGTGGTGTTTTGTCTTTCTCAGCACTAATGCAGAAGCCTCAAACAATTCTTTGTTCAAGACATCGCTGTAATTAAGGCTTATTCATTCTGACTTGATAAAGCAAACAAAATAATGTCATTTCTCTGTAGAGATTGAATGGCAGTAAAAAAAAAAACTGTAGAAAGAAAGGAAATTTTTGAGTTATAGAAACATCACAGAAAATGTCTGGAAGATACCATCAAAGATAATTTCAGCTTGTAAGAAGTGTTCCTTGACCACTGTAAAAAAAAAAAAAAAAAAAAAAAAAGAAAGAGTTCTATATTTCCAAACTAGTAATTCTGATAATTCACCTTCAGAACGGAAAGGCTATTTTTTTTTCCCAAGAATGCTCTATTTCTGCTCCTGTTAAAGTCAATGTATTTTTATCACTGATTTCAGTGGAAGAAGACTCTTCACTTCCATTTTTCAATAAGGGCAAAGTAGGGCAATCTGTTTGTGATGAACAAGTTGTTTTAGCCTTGCACATGACTAGCAAGCAACAAACAAATTACAGATTTAGTCAGTATTAAAACGCACCACTGTGGGCAACTTTGCTGTCTGTTTCAGGGACAGGACACAAAACATTTCATATCGCCAATATATGTTGTTGTAGACTTATCTCATATTACTTAAGATATTTCCCAGTAGAAATCCAATACCAGTGAATAAGTCAACCTGCAAGACCTAAGGTACTTGGGTCCCCAAAACTGGGAACGATTACTTTATTCCATAAGTGTTAAAGTGTCTGAGGAATAGAGCTGAAGTTACTATGCAAAAATTTAATCAAGTACATAATTATTTAGGGTTGGTTTGGTTTCAGACTTAGTCTTACTTACTATGATTTACCATATTTCACATCAAGGCTAGCAGAGAACGTGAGGAATAAATATATCAGATGTATATACCTCTCCTGAGCATAGGTCTTTAGAATGGATAGATCAGTAGAAGATCTAAGGAAAGATAGCGCAAAGCACAAAAGCTACTTAGTCTCTTCAGAAGATGCAATGGGCTGTGAGTGCTTCTCCTTCCTCTCAGGAAGGATTTTCTGGGGCCAGAGTGGAGTTAGAGTTCTTCTGTTAGCTCTAATGTGGTTGCAGAGTGATGCAGTAGTGCCTGTTTCACTGTGGAGCCTGTGCGATTTGCATTGCGTCTATTTTTGCTTTCCATATGCGCATTTAAAAATCTCTCCCTTGGTCTGTTGAACCAAAGACCTCCCAGAAAAGGAGATTGTTTATTCTGAGCCTGCTTGAATGAATTTTATATTAAATATATACTTGGAACAAAACCTCAGATCTAAACACACAGAAGTCTGGGGTGAGGAGGCTGAAATCTCAATTTGGGTTCAAGTTCTGTGGTTTGGGTCCTGTCCTATTTCATGTTTCCTGAAACAAAGTACATTATTTTTTTAATGCTAGAAAAAGTGCACTTTCTTACTTACAGTCTGAACAGCCTGAAAAAAAAAGTATGTTAGGTATGTTTTTTAGTTATACTTACAAGGAATCAAAAATTTGTTTGCATCCGTTATGCAGAAGAAAAGGAATAGCTTTTATTTTTCATGTTGAACCTAGGTAACCTTTCTTCTATTATGAGGAGACAAAAGAAATGGCAAATCTAAATCCTTTGGAAAAGAAAGAGAGTGCTGTGCATGGAAAATCTTTCTGGAGAGCCTGAAGAATTTAGAGAGTCCTGCTTGAGTTTCTGCATGGACTCTTTGACCTCCAGTTTGTGACATGTAGCCCAAACTACATAGGTTGCATGGAAAGCCCTCTAGCCCTCCATAAATGTCTGAGGAAATACAAGAAGCAGGATCATTCCGAATATAAGTTGGAATATAGCACAATAAAAATGCAAGCATATCATACCTACTTAAATAGTCTCTCCCTTGAGTGAATAAAGCATTGAAACAGAATCAATAGCTTCAACTTTATCTACTTTTATTGGGCACCAATCCATGAAACTTAAGTTTTACAATAAGAATATATGGCTTTAGGGGAAGAGAGAGAAGACTGTGGAGTCTGAAATAAGTAATGTCTAGAAAAGATCTGTTTAACAGGGATGTTGCTTCAGCTCCATCCAAATGAGAAAATGGAATGTGCTGAGCATAGATGTGACTAATTGTAAACTTTCTTTGACATAGCATTTCAGGACAAGGGTTCAGCCTTCTTAGTGCAGGTATAAAGAGCACAAAATCTAGTCAGGGAAACAAAGACAGGGAAGTAGAGAGAAATGGTGACAAGCAAAGATTGAGCCTAGATAGTAGGTTTGCCTTTTACCTCTGTAGTGAAACACAATAATCTTTGCAAAAGAGGGACAGAAAGAAAAACTAATGCTGCTCCTTTGATTCTGGAGACAGGACCATCTAGCTGTCTGCAAGTCATCAAGATCCAGAACCAAGAGATACAAAGTTTTCACAGCCCACCCTTTTGTGTCACCAAATCTGTCATGTTGAGAGGGTGCCTGTGCTTTTCCAGGAAAGGGGCTGTGCTAAAACGTGTCTAAAGTGAACTGGTATTTTGACCTAGAAACGCACCATGTGGCCATACCACCTCATCTGAGGCTACAGTTTCTCCTGACTTGCTAGGTTCAAATCCAGATTTAGACAGTTTAAATTCCACCCAGTTTCTGTGATTAGCGTTTCCTTTCCATTCATTCTAGGCCTTCACACATTCTTTATAAATAGACCCTGACCTGAATGTCTACCTACCAGTTTAAAAAGAAAATGCTGGCTAAACACTCAAAATCTCACAAGGCACAGAAAAAACCTACCCAGAATAGCGCAAGATGCTTTATATTATTATATTGAATCAAATATTTCATTTAGAGCATAACCACTTTTCTCTCAAAAATAACAAATTAAAAATTGTTCCCTGCAGGCTAACTAAAGCCTTAGCTCAGCAGATGGTTAAATGCAGTCTGTAGTCAGCAAATCCTTTTAAAGAGAAGTCAAACACTAGAAGTCCCTTTGGATAGCCCGTCTTCCAAATTGGTCTTTCTCTCTGAGGGGTCTGAATGCTGAAGAAAGCCTGCTGAATACCAAAAGGCAGATCCTTAACTGGTGTGAATTGACCAAGTTCCTGCTTTGGTACCTCCTTCCTCATCTATACATACAGAGCTCTCTCCAGCCTCCACCAAGCTAACTGACTGTGCTGTGGTTCATTTCATCAGGAGCAGGAACCAGCTAAAAATATGGTCGGTTTGATGAAAATACAATGCACATGTTAAAATGAAGTGGGATCACATCTGTGTTTTTTCCACATGCTAAACAATAATGTGAATTTTTGGTATTCTTTTGAAAATAGTTTGACTGTTCATTGCCAAAAGAAACTTGGCAGCAGTAATAATGCAGTAATGCTGCAAAAATTAATGTTTTAAAATTTTAGACCACCAGCATTGATTCAACAATCCAACATCATATTCTTGCTCTGGGAAACTTTCATACAGACTGAACCTTCAAATCTTGGATGGAGCAGTCATTGAAATCAAGTATTTTAAGTGCCAGCTTGGAGAAAATGTCTGTCGCCAAACTATAAATGCAGATTTCTAATGGGTAGGCAGACTTCCACTGTGCTACAACCACAAATCATGGAAACAATAACTATGCCTCTACAGCCAGCCAGACCAACATCTAGAGAATGCATATTGCTGATGCAGTTAGGCATTTGTCTTCATGAAGGAAGAAACTATAGTTCTTGAGCTGCTTAGTGAGCAATCATGTATCTTCCTTGTAAGTGAAGATAAATATCACATTTGACTAAAGATGTATTTTTTTCTTCTCATTCTCTCTATCTCTGTGTGGGAGTCTTATTTATAAAAAGTTGTTCATTTCTGCACATTAAATAAGGATTAGGGCCATGTGTATTTATATGTTTGTGAGTATACAATCACAAATCATAGTTATACTGATACAATCATGAAATCATGCCTTCAATGGAGATTATTTAACAATTTTTAAAAATCTGAATACTGTTTAAAAGATTATGTTCCTTTTTTTTTTTCTTTTTTTTTTTAATTTGGCCAAAAGCCTTTGCTGTCACTCATACCATGTTGGTGTTTTGATGTTAATGGTTCAGTGGGCCAGGCTCTTTGGTTAGATATGTGCTATAGCACATCACATGATTGAATTGGAATGGTGGACCTAAGAAATAAACCTTGATTTCTGGTTAGTGGGAGATACTAAGTCTAGCCAGTGAAGTAGATTATATCAACACAATCATAATAAACATAAATAAAAACTAGAAATTGATAACACATTCATTTTCATTTATGGGATTATTTTACTTTTTATATCTAATAACTTGTGGCCTGTTTTTTGAAAGAACAGATGAGATATAATGTAAAATAATAAGAAAGCCATCTCACTTACTCAAGATAATTTGAGAAATGCATGACACTCGCTTGTTTTCTTCTGGCTGTTAAATAACTCTTACTACCTCAGTCCAGGTCAACTTCAGTGAGAACAACAGATTTAGAATCTGCTTTCCCAATTTCCATGCAATTTTGATGTAGACATTCGCTAGGCTTTCCACTTCTCCACTGCTGTCTATTCTATTTTCTCTGGCTTGCTCATACATAATGCAAAGCATACAGTGATAAGAGCACTTCAGCCCATGCTTAGCTTCACTTGCATCTCTAATCCCATGGGAGAGTTTCACATGCTTAAAGTTAGGTGTGTTGGTAAATTATTTGGTTGAATGGAGACTGTGAACAAAAAGAACAACCCTTTCTTTAAATAAGAAAGCTAATGTACTTCAAATGGACACCTCATAGGGACACAAGTAGTGCATGATTTTAAGATGGGAGAACTGAAGTTAAGGTTTCCATGGTGATGCTATCTTCATCCATTTCCTTATGAACTTGGGCTTCTGCTGAGTTCCACCCATATAAGTAAGGACAGAACAAGGTCAAAGGTTTTCAGTCGATTCCACATAAATTACTAGAGGAGTCATGGCATTTCTGGACTTTACTGTTTTACATCTTGGCTTGTTAGAGTAGTAGTTTCTCCTCTAAGGTCACTCTCTATTTCTCGTTCGTTTCTCAAAGGAAGACCTTGATTCAACAGCTGTGAATCAGAAAAAAAAAAAGAAAAAAAAAAAAAAAAGCCTTCTGCAAGACAAATCCTTTAATGTAGCCAACACGAGCCCAGTGTAAGATCCAGTGGGCAGAAAGGAGGTCTGTGCTGCTTTCGCATTATCACGATTGTGAAGATTAAGTGAGTTTAGGTTGTTTTAACTTGGGTCTAGTTACCCATGGCCCTAAGCATCCTTGGAGAACAGTAGGTCTCTGGCCCCTTTCTTGCCCTGTCTGACCTACGAGTCCTCTAGGGCCAAAGAACACAGTCTAATAGACAAGCTGAATTGCTAGAGTGGTACAAAGAGGATGCTGTAATTGCTACCATTTTGACCAAAGATCTCTAGTTCAAGGCAAAATAAGTAAACTCTTATAGCCTTGTCACCCCACTCTGCATAATGGTGTGATTTCCCATCTCGTCTTCTGCATGAAACATAAGCATCTTGCTTTCACTTTCCAGTTGCTTTGCAGCCTCTCTCTGCCGTGTTTGCTCTGTTTCTAGCAAATGATTCCTGCCTCTGGCTGGCTCTAGGTGCAGGCATCCTTCACCTACCTGTTACATAACCAAACAAGTCCCTTTGGGTTTCCTGCTGTGCTTTTGCCCTCACACTTGGGAGTCAATTTCCTATAAATATCTGCAAAATCATTTCATTATCCTCTGTCTTATTCCTCTCTAAAACTTTACTAAAAATATCTTAAATCAGTCAGACTGCTGGTATGTTAATGCAACCACCTGTTATATCAATCAGTTTTAGTGTGTTGTTTCTTTATGCTGTCTCACTTCCTTGTATCCTATTTCTGTACCTTGTTTTATATATTGATTATAAGACCGTAGGAGCCAACATCTAATGTAATAGGATCTTAATCTGTGACTATTTAGTACAAACTCTAGGGCAAACAGAAAAAATAAGAATGAATGGGACAGTTGTGCAGGAAATATGCATCATCATGAGACGGTATCAGCTGTGATTGCACTGTCACAAAATGCAACTGCTGCATAAAATACTATTATCACTGAATAGCCAGAACTTGGATTTCAGTGAAACCCAAGATACTACCCTCTGTAATTAAAACTTCAGACAGATGTATTCTTTTTGAGTAACCTTTTTTCTTCATCAGCAATCACCATAAATCTCACTTCTAAGAAGTGATTTTGATAGCTTTGTTATCTCTTAGCCAGAGTCCAGTATTATTTTGTCTTGATTGTCTTATCTTACCTACCCGTCCTGCAGTGCAGAATTATGCCTGTACTTATATACTGCCACAGATGCGTATGACACTACAGTTGTCAATAATTAATAATTATTGACAGTGGGAACATTACATGGACCACTTTTTGTCAGAATAATCTATAAATTACATGAGATTCCACTGCTGAATAACCAAGAAAAAAAAAAAAAAAAGATTTTGAGAAGTGAGAAATGGTCTCTACGATCATCTAGTCTCTATGACCAGAACAGTTCTTTTGTTAACCCACTATTGGTGTTTGATTTTTCTGACCAATTTACCAGAGGCTCAGGGTGCCTAGATCACGAGAACATATCTTTCCTTTGCTTGACCATTTCCTCTCTTTCCTCCAAAGAGCTCAGAACTCAGCTAACATATCCTTGGCATTACTTGAAGCACCTTTTGACAGTCTTGTCATAAGGGACAAGGCTGTTGTTTCTAAAAGCAAAACTCATAGTCAATTCAAAGACTGCAAGCTACGGTCCGAGCTCCTTAATACACGAAACGCTCAAGGCATCAGGCTTCCCCAGGTGAGGAAATCGGTTTGCACAAAGTTCAATTGTTTACAGCAAAAATGAGAAAAGAAAAGGAGGGAGAAGGGTCCCCCACCCCCACCCCAACACACACACACAGCTCTCCCTCCCCACGAGGATGCAGACTCTACCCCATGCACGTCGGAAATGGACCTGGTGCGGCTCCCGGCGCAGCATGCACACGCGGAAGGGAAGGGAGGGGATGCCTTAGCACGAGCTGATCATCACCATAAAGAGTTAAAGAGAGAGTGAAATGGCTAACGTACACACACCCCGCTCCATACCGGAGAAGAGTCTCCCAGCTGCGGTTTATGCTCTGTGAGGACCAGGCTGAAACTGACCGCCCCCACGGCCACGCTGGACACCCCTAACCCTATCTCCAGCACGGAGAGCACCAGGAGGCTCCCGATGATCTGGCTGCTGGTGCACATCCTCCTCGGTCATCCTTCCTTCCCGATCAGCCGGGGAAACCGCGCATCCGCCTTCTCCTCCGGCGCCTCCGACGCCCCAAGTCGCCCCCAAACTTTTCTTCCTCCGTCGGCAGCCGGGGCGAGGCGCCGCATCCGCGGCCTCCTCCGCGAAAGGCGACCTTGCCTGCTCGCCTCCTGCGCTCTCATTGGAATGACCTCACGGGGATTTTTTCTTCTTCTTCTTCTGCTGCTGCTGCTTCTTTTTTATTATTATTGTTATTATTTCCTTCCCCCCTCCTCCTCTCTCTTCCTGGGTTGGGGGGGGTGGGGTGGGAGAGAGAAATGTGCCGAGCCCGCTCTGGCTATATTTATGTGTGGATCTTGATGCAATGCACAGGCAAGGCCCCACGGCAGCTCCGCCCCAGAGCCACAAGGCACAGCACCTTCCTCCAGCTCCCTGCCTCCGGCCTCCCAGCTCCCCCCGACTCCATGCGGCGCCCACCGGCCCGGCGGCAGGAAGGGGACACTAGTAGCAGGGCCAACTGCAGCATGTGCTGCCAAGGCAGGTGAGAGGTGAGTCTCCTTCCGTGGGGTTTGAAGAGGCCTCCCTCCTTCCATGTGCTGCTCTCAAAACACAGGACAAAGTCCATTCTCCTCCTGTATTAGCAAAAGAGCCAGAATCTACCATTTCTCAGTACTGCAAAACTCTGTCTGCTCTTCCAAAACATTATTGCTCACATAGGCAGCTACTGTAGCCATTCTGATTGTACCTACAACAGCCAGAACTATGTCAGCCCTAAAGTGAATGAGCAACAACAAAAATACAACAAAGAAATGCAGAACTGCCACTCGCACCATATTGGATTGCTTTTGGTACTAATCTTTAATTCTGTGGCACAGGTAGGGAGGATGCTTGGGCACTCTGACATCAGTTTAACAATGGACAAGTGCTGCACAATATGGCAACCCATAAACATTCAGTTTAGCACCATAGTTCTCCTAAACATGGATCATCAACCCTCAAGTAGTTTTATTACTAGCAGGACATGATCTAGATCATGATTCAAAACCACCAACATCCTGCAAGGTGCAGCTAATTTGCTCTAGCTATGTTCTAATTTTATATTCTAAATCTAACATGTATGGAACTTATTTTTTCTTTGTATGCAAAAATCTAGAATCCTCCCCCTGTATAGATATTCTGCACACAGACATCAGAATCCAGACAAGCAATCTGGACTTGTCTGTTCTTTTTTTTTTTTTTTTTTTTTTTTTTTTGATGTCACAATTTGGAGTCTAGAGCATGAAATCCTCAGGGCCCTGACCAAAAAACCTTTGTCTTATGCCTGGAGAAGACAGCCCTTAAACTACAGTAATGAGAAGATATGGGATGCTAAAGTGTAAGAGAAGAATCTACATACATGTATTATATATGCTGAGAAGATTAGGTCTGCCATTAAAGGCCAGAGTCCAGGTCTCATTTCTAGTAACTCTGCATATTTCATTGTTTGAGTGGAGTTACATTGGTGTCAAAGTCTACCCTGCTAACTTGTTTATATTCTGTAGGTGTGAGAATGAATAAAGGGGTACTTAGATACCTAACTATACTTAGGATCTAACCATTTGCCACCTCAAACCTTTGCCTGCTTTATATTTTCTCACACTTTTCTCCATTCACAGAAGTAGAATGGGTGACTACTTTACATCTAAAGGAAAGCTATGTTTCAGTTAAAACTAAATTGTCCCCTTTTCATCTCTCATGTTTTAAATGGTACCTGACATCTCTTATCATTAAAAATCAAAGCACAGCATAAAAGTTCTCAAGTTACTATATTTATGTGGGAGGATGGAGAAAGCACAGATTTTCAAGTACCCACATGGGTGTAGGAAGGTGTTTCTGCAATGACAGTATCCTTATTATGTCAGATTGCTATAAACGTTGGAGTGTGCTAAGGTACGATGATTTTCCTGCTCAGAGTATTCTACCAGAACTATAAAAACCAGTGGTGATAAGAGGGGAATTGCGTAATGACAGATATAATTAATATGTTTAATACTTGAAGCTAGATAGAGCACATGCCATATCAGGATAGAGCTCATGTGACAGAAGTAAAATTTCCATAAACAGCTTGTTTTATGTAACATTTCCATTTCAGTCATAATAAGCTGTCAGAAAGATGGGGGAAAGAGACCTTGTGAAAAGTGTGTCCTAGATGGAGATTACTTGATGTGACAGTTATTAGAACAGGGATATAAAACTGGAGCCCGGTAACATAAGAAGAGATGCTCTTGGTGCCTGCTTTCTAATCTGCAGACTTCAGAGAGGTGAAAAGCTAAGCAAGACCTCAGTCACAGTTAAGAACACCGTCCAAGAGGAGCTGTGTGAGTTATCTCTGTTTTGCACCCTTTCAAATAAAGGCAGGAAGGAAATGTAATATTCTCATCACTATCCTTTTAAAATGAAAAGATACAGTCTTTGCCCATGTAATCACTTTAGTTTATTTGTACTATGGTGCTGCATCATCATTACGTGCTGATCTAGACAATTAACTTTACACATGGGACTATTCATGCATACATTCTAGCACATGCTTACATCTTTGCAGCATGAAGGCACTCTTTTTCACTTAACTACTTGCTGTCTCAACTGGCTGATTCTGAAATGTGTTTCCTATCTTCCTGTTTCCCCATAGTTAAAAGAGATATGATAAAATACTAAAAGAAAAAAAAAAAACAGAATGCCTGAAAGTTTTTCTTACATTGAACAAAGTTAAATACTGAAACTCCATCTCCAAAGTACAATTAACTATAGTCATGAGAGCTTTGGATTTTTAAATTTAAATTATTGGAATCATGAGCAAAAGTCATCAATTTGATTTTGTTTGATTTCTTTGAGGGAAAACTTATTTTTTCTTTCTTATTACTAGAAGCTTTAAAAATGATTCTTGACCAAAAAATATTAGTCACACAGTGAGATGAAAACTAACTGGATGTCATACTATTGACATTGAAGAAAAGAAAGTAAGTACAAAGATTCATTTATACTAAGTCCTTTTTATACAGCTCTGATGGTGGAAGGGAGTCTCTGTCGGGGAAACATGGTAGAAACACTAAGAGGGTTACAGTTTCTCGATTGGAAATGATTGATTTTATGCATATGCTTTTGAACATGTGATAGAGCTATGGCTTGCTTAGTTGAGTATTTCTTATTTAAATGGCTGAATTTATTCATTCCTTAATTCCATGTATCACTAAAACAGTGTTGTATAGTACATACATATGGTAGCAGAAAAAATATGGCACACATGTTAGCAGATCAGAATTCAGGCCGTTGATTCCAATTCAGCCTAGGTAAATTATGAATAAAATTGAAACTGCACTTCATCCCGTGGCTGCTTATAGCAAGAGAAATAAGTTGGCACAGTTTCAAAAGGAGAAGTATACTACCCCTAAACTTCAATATTACTTATGTGCTGGTATAAGGTGGCAGTCTTGGACAAATAAACAGAAATGTGAATAGCTTTAGAAGCTGGATTACTCCTTTACCTCATAGATGTTTTTTCAGGCAGTCTCAAGCAATATCAGTTGAGCTAAACGGTATTGACTAAATCACTTCTGCCACAGCACCCTTTGGGAAATGGAAAAATTCCATTGCTAACAAATCTTCTTTTCACAGAAGAAAGTTGTTTTCACCTTTCTTTGCTGATGCCATCACTTTACACTGCTTTGTCACTTGGATCACTCCAATTAAGTTGACTAAAACAAAAACAGTGTATAGTATCACTCTAATGACAGCTTTTAAGTGTTTGAGGTGATATGCTCCCCTATGTTTTACAGAGAGATGTCCATTGATTTCATTCTAAAATCAGGTGTATTGCACCCTATTTATAGAAATGTGGACAAATAGCCTTTATAACAGTCCCTCTTTTTTTTGTGCAAAATCATCTCGTAGCTGATTTTACTCCTTAGCTTGTTCATACTCCAAATTACCATGTACTGTTGCTCTAAAACAGAAAGCAAAGCCCATCAGACTCTTAGGGAGCAGAAGACAAGAATGGACTGGCAGTGATTTTGTCTGTTTAGAATTCAATAGCCAGAAAAACTGGGTATCTCAGTTCCAGCAAAGGTAGGATCTGTGGCACTTACGTAGCTGTTAAGACTAAGGTCACAATTGCTTTTCTCAGATTAAGTCCTTCAGGTATTGGTTTATGACACAGACACAAACACACACAAAATTTGATGACCTAGCCTAAAACTACTGAGTTTAGGTTTCCATTTGAGAGGAGTCAGGTGATTTGTGACAGTCATTGAGTATTGATGGACCATTTTACATATTTTTAGTCCCAGGTTGCTTAGTAGAAATTGCATAGACTCTATGTAGCCATAATTAAAAGTGGATAAATTACTCTTGCTTATATTTGTTGTTACCTATATGCTAGTGACAGCAGAAGAACTGTCTACAATTACGAGAAAATCTTGTTCATTTAAGGAATTTGATTAGATAGGAGAAGAATCATTCAGTAGAAGAGATCAGAAATCTGCACATAAATTCTAACTCTTCTTCTACTCATCAAGGCACAAATACTGATTCGAGTCAACAATAAGTGATCAACTTGCAGATGGTGGGTATTTTAACCCCACCACAGACCACCCTACCACACAGATAGGGTGCATGTGAAATTATTTATGCTCATGTTACATACAAAGATATGAGTCGCAGCACCTTTAAAGTAACTTGTATAATGTTAGCTAGAAAGTCTGCAACTGAACCAGGAAGGTCTCTTTTATTCAACATCAGCATCCCGTTAAAAAAAAATGCTCACCGTATGTTAATACCTTCCTGTGAAAACAACAGGAAAGGGTAATTATCAGAGAAGACTAAAGTTTTCCCAGGAACTGTGACTCCCTGACTCCTCAGCAGATAAATTCCTGACCATGAAGATCTTCAGAAGTATCTGCAGGAGTTGGAGGCCTGTGTTGCCCCCAGAAGCTCTTTTCACAACTATGATATACAGTGCTGAAATGCTCATCTCTTACTAACATGAATTTAATACTTGTAAAATAGGTCCTGTCCATTTCTTGGCATAATATCACTGTGCTAAACAGGCTGTCACAGAGATATGGGGAACATTAACTAGATTAAATGACATTAGGCAACCTG